CGCGCAAGCAGAAACCATGGGGAGAGGCAGTTGTCTTTCCGTAATACGTCGTAATGATGTCGGAGCCGCCCACGCCCACAAAATAGATCCTCAACGAATTAGCGATTCAAATCAGGGCGCGGCACTAAGTCCCGTGCCAAATGGCAACGAGGAGGAGGACCAAAAAGACATGAGGTTAGTTAATTGGGGAACTGGACAATCCTGGATCACACCGGGCCATGTGTCAAGGCCGACGGGTCGGTACCGTGCATGTCATAATACACTACCTTACTTCGTAGAAACAATGGTGGAGCAAAACTTGACCATACCTTAGTTAGACAGCAATAACACGGATAGTGCTTCAACTGATAGGATGAGGATCGTCAATGGACGAAAGAACGTGCCAATGGCTGGGGGGGAAATCCCGGCTATCCGTATTCGTAGCATAAGGTAGGCAAGGTATTAAGGATGCCGCGTGGTAAAGGTGCAACGTCCCGATGATTCTACGGCGAGGGACTGTTGAGCAGACCGTAGTATTTACGGTTACGTAACGGGCACGGATTTCACCGAAGGATTATAACTTCGGTATTCCGGGCGCATAAACACTTGCAGAATTTTTACTATAGATGGAACGGTAGTAGTAGTTCCCCAACGGCCCTGCAGGTAACAGAATAGTATATAATTATCTTAATTAATCGACGATTTTAATCCCTAATTTTAACCCTATTTTTATAGTCCTAGCTACGCTATATCTAATAGTTAAGAGTATTATTTACTAAGTGATAATATATACTTTTATATATCCTACTACCGCTTAGGAGCTATACTAGTCGAGTTGTTATAGTAAGTCGAGAACTATTTATAATCCTACTAAAATAACTACTTTAACGACCTACTTTCGGCAAGATAAATAAGACTAACCTTATACTCTATTATATCTATAAGAACTAGGAGCTCTAGCGCCGCTACTATGTACCGGTAGCTATATTTAATAACGCTTAGCGATATTTACGCCCTAATAACCTGGTCCCCCCTTCGTAGTAATCTAATCTAGCCGATTATACCGACTTCTAGGGTACCTAGGCCGTTATAATTATAGGGCCCGCGCCCACGTAGATTACAGATTTAACGGGTAATCGGTGATACTTCTATACAATAGTAGTTAGTTATTAGAAGATACTAAATCTTTAATTCGATAAATACCTTAAAAGCGTTAACGCTATATACATATAATAGGCTACCACTATCGCTAAAAGACGTAAATAACTATTACGTAGTGCTCTGCGTTATAATATATATAACGATATTTACTATACTTACTATAGTACCGCCTGATACTTTATTACGCGCTAGGCTCATACCTATAATAAGTATACTAGTATATTCTGTAAGCGTAGGAATAACCTTAAAAAGCTTAATAAGTAGATAAAGATATAGGAGAAGCTACTTAAGTGTTACCGTAACTCTAATGCGATATCTATCATGTATATGTAGGTAGGCGATTTCTTCCAGGATATACAGCTTATAGCTAGCCGCGATTAGACCGAAGCCGAAGACCATCTTATAGATAATAAGACTATAATTCTATAGCATATTTGTTGCCTAGGAAAGGAGTATATTAGCACGAGACTTGAAGACTAAGAAAAGCGTAAGAACTACTACGCTATAGTATTCTCCACCCTTAATATTAAGAACAAGAATAGAGAATAGGACCCTATAGCTAAGCCTTATAAGTGACGTGGGAAAAACGAAGCTAGAAAACCCCCTTCCTTTTCCTCTTCTACGGCCGTAACGGCTAACCGCTCTAATTCTAGGCACCCTTAATCCATCTATAAGAAGGTCTACTATGCATACGGAATCCCCGGTCACGATCTTAGCAGGTGCTTCTACCTCTTTCCGGAATAAGCATACGGAAAATAAAGACGCGGAGATCACACCGCTAAAGCCGTGTAGTAGATCCTTAAATACGATCCCGAGATTAAGGATAAAGTCAATAAACTACGGAAGAATAAGAAGGTTAAATATAATAATAATAGCACTAAATAGAAGGAGGCTTAACTAGCTAGTAGCCCGAGCACTATACCGATTACTACATTTACGAGTAGCGCAACTACTAGCTACTCTTTACAGTACTCTACTATCTTAGATTTCGGTACTATTATATATATCTTTAACGATTCTTCCTGTTTTACAGATTTCATACCTACTACGAGGGGTGGGGTTGCGTCATCTCCAGTAGTTCCTACTTTCTTATCTAAGGTGACGGTAGTATGACTATTTGAGTAGAAGGACTAATAGGATGCTATAATTTTAGGTAATTAAATATTACCTACTATATAAGGGCTTTACTTATAACCTTATATCTAATTAACGTCCCCGGAAAAGAGAATACTAGTAGGATTACAAGCCGCCGAATAACTATATCTGCTATTCTAATAGACCTATTCTGTACCAGCTAAGTTAACGCTTTAATTGAACCGTTATTAAATACATTCATTATAACAATTTTGACTTATCTACAGCTACTCTTCTAGACTCTATTACCCGTAGAAATATGTGTAAATTGACGACACGATAATCTAATATTATTAAGGGCAGTCTATAGTATCTACAGTTAGGGTATATAGACTCTAAACCTATTAGTTACCTAGAGGAGTAGGCGTAGGGCGTTAGGATTATGAGTAAAGGACTAATAATAATCGATTACGAGGCCTATGTACTTGCGAAGATTAAGCGGCGTGTTAGTAGGCGACCTTATATGATAGCTAATTATATAGGCGAGTAATAAGTAATGGACTTTATAGATTTCGATATAATATTTAACGACGACTCTTAAGTTATATTCTTTACCAACCATTATAGTAGATTTGCGGGCACCTACGCTATAAAGTCTAAGCGTGTCGAAGATATCTATACTATTATTAAAGAATTCATTATATAGGTAAAGTAATAGCTTAATATTGAACCCCGTGTTGTTAAGAGCGGTAATAAGCTTTTCCAGGTATATAAGATATAAGCTATCCTCTGTAGAAAAGGCGTCGATTTATAACCCTATACCATAGATATCTAGACATAGAATAAAGGTGCCGAATAGGCCGGCGTAGTAATTATTAGTAAAGGGCTTACAATAGTGATATACACCTGGCTACCTAGATTTATATAGCCGGAGCCCGTGCTATTAGCAGTATATATCTATAAATACACCCCCTTATAGTGCTAAAACTCTATATAAGATTCTCTTTTGCCGGAAGCCGGTTTCGTCCTATCTATAAGCCTACGGTTTTATAGTATATATAATAATAAAGGAGGCTTAAAGAGGTAATAATAGGCTAAAGTACCGCCTTATACTATATATCTATATAGGGTATTTTATCGGCTATAATTAATATACCCTGACTAGGTATATCCCTGGCTAGCTAATACTCTAGGACCTATAAGCCAGGCTTGTGTTAAGGGGTAACCTTTACTATAAAATATAAGGTATAATAAAGATATCTTCTCTAAACTAAGGGGCGAAGCCCCGAACTAATATATCTACGGGGGAACCCTGGAGATAGTTGGGCTCGGTAACCGTGGACCCTGGTTCTGACGGTAGACCGCCGTAGAACACGGTTCTAATAGTAGACCGCCGTGGAACACGGTTCCCGTGCCTTATCTAGTATCTATAGTACGCCGAGGCGTATTATATACCCCGGGCTATAAAGCCCTATATCTCGCGGGCTTCCCCGCCGTATGGCCGTAGAATACGGTATACCCTGCTTAGGACGCGGACTTATAGCAGATATCCCGATAACGGAGTTAGAGGAGAATAAAGGAAAATTACTTCGCGCTAGCGAGGCGTAGCGCCTTAGCGGTGACTGCTATTAATACTACCTATAACGGCGCTACCTATAACTAAACGGAGTAAGAGAAATAATAAACACTACCGCTATTTTCTATAGCGGCAGGATAGCGATAAGGCTATCGACTACCTCCTATAATTCCGGACGGGTAAGTAAAAGTATATAGGAAGAAAAAATAAATATACAGGACTATAATAGGGAAAACCGAAGAATAAAGAATAAAAGAAAATAAACTATACTATAAAGACCCTGGCGTATCTAGCGCAAATTCTATATATCTCCGGCTTATTCTATTACGTCTATAGTATCCGAATCATTATTAAGGTCTACTAGTAGTATATACGGTAGGCTAAGACCTAGTATATTAACGCCGTAAATACTAGCGGTATCTTCTAAGGAAAGCGTATCGCGTTTTTCCGCTAATTCGGTGATAGAGATATCGCATATAGCGAGGAGGCCGCGCTCCTTATACTACTTAAAGTGATGGTGGAGAATAGCGTAAAGCTTTATAATATTCTCCGCTAAATCCCGGTTATTAACTAAATAGTCCGCGAGTTTCTTTTATCGGATAGCGGAGAGGTTAATACTATTACTATCTATTAGCGCTAGTTAGATAAAGGCCTTAAGACGCTATAGTTTAATAAGTAGCTATTAGTTAGCCGCGCTTTAGGTAGGATCTTTAGAGACGTGGTTCTTAATCTAGTTCTTAGTAAAACCGGCCGTTACCGTTAGTATACTAATAGCGTATCCCCGCTATCTAATAAGCGTGATCTTCTAGCTATTATCTAAGTTAAGGTCCTACTACTATAATCGCGCGGTGTTAATAAGCACCCGAGGAGTAATATTAGGGGCGAGGTCTTATTATACCTTAATCTCTCCGGATATAGTTACGACGCGCTTAGGCATAAGGGCACCGCCGTTATCCTCTGCCCGGCGCTTAGCGCGGGCGGGCCTAGTATTATTAATAGCGGCGATAGTCTTAATAAATTACTACGCAGGCGAGGGCTTAGACCGGGTATTATAATA